CCCAATTTGGCCTCTACTGGAAACTTCACTGGTTCTCATTTGTGTGGTTTCCTCCAAGTGCAGAAAAGCTTCATTTTTCATATCTTACCACAGTGCTCACAGAGAGCAGGCAGGGCTAGCAGAAACAGGCATAGCAGTTTGAGTGGTCCAGACAGTGAGTCAATATGAAAGTCATAAATGATAAGGGAAGTGGGACCATTGCCAGAGGAGGGAAAGGACCTCTCAGGAGTGGGGAAGGAAAGGGCAGGACTTCCCACTCTGACCTGATATGGGATTTAAGCCATATGAGTTGGTCTCAGAAAAGAGTATAAAGAAGTGCTACTCATGCCAGAAGTAAATGAATACAGAAAGACCAAGTGCTGTTATCAGGTTTGCAAAGGAGGGGACTGGATATTTGTTTGCCATATAGAGTGGTGGCTCATAGCTCACGCCTGTAATCCCAGCACTTTGGGAGGTCAAGGTGGGTGGATTATGTGAGGTCAGGAGTTTGAGACCAGCCTGACCAACATAGTGAAACCCCATCTCTACTAAAAAAACAAAATTAGCCAGGTGTGGTGGTGCATGCCTGTAATCCCAGCTACTTGGGAGGCTAAGGCAGGAGAATCGCTTGAACCCAGGAGATGAAGGTTGCAGTGAGCCAAGATCGTACCATTGCACTCCAGCCTGGGCAACAAGAGTGAAACTGTCTTAAAAAAAGAAAAAAAAAAGAAAAAAAATACTTGTTAGAAAATACTATGGTATATGCAGCCAAAAAAGAGTCCAAATAGCCAAGGCATTCTTAAGCAAAAAGAACAAAGCTGAGGGCATTATGCTACCTGACTTCAAACTACACTACAAGGAAACAGTAACCAATACTGTATGGTATTAAAACAGACAAATGGATGAATGAAAGAGAGAGAGAGCTGACAAATAAGTCTCCACACTTACAATCATCTGATCTTCAATAAAGTCTGCAAAAATAAGCAATGGGGAAAGGATTCCCTATTCAATAAGTGGTAGTAGGATAACTGGCTAACCATATGAAAAAGATTGAAACCGGACCTCTTCTTTACATCATATACAAAAATCAACTCAAGATGGATTAAAGACTTAAATGTAAAACATAAAACTATAAAAACCCTGAAAGATAACCTAGGAAATACCATTCTGGACATAAGACCTGGGAAAGATTTCATGACAAGATGCCAAAAGCAATTACAGCAAGAACAAAAATTGACAAATGGCACCTAATTAAACTAAAGAGTTTCTGCACAGCAAAAGAAACTATCAACTGAATAAACAGAATCTACAGAATGGGAGAAAATGTTTGCAAACTATGCATCCAACGAAGGTCTAATATCCAGAATCCATAAGGAACTTAAACAAAACTATGAGCAAAAAACAACTCCATTAAAAAGTTAGCAAAGGACATGAACAGATACTTTTCAAAACAAGGCATACATATGACCAACAATCATATGAAAAAATGCTCAACATTATTTATCATTAGAGAAATGCAAATCAAAACCACAATGAGATACCATCTCACACCAGTCAGAATGGCTATTATTAAAAAGTCAAAAAATAACAGATGCTGGCGAGGTTGCCAAGAAAAAGAAATGCTTATACACTATTGGTGGGAATGTCAACTAGTTCAGCCATTGTGGAAAGCAGTGTGGTGATTCTTCAAAGAACTTAAAACAGAATTTCCATTCTACCCAGCAATTCCATTATTGGGTATATACCCAAAGGAATATAAATCATTTTACCATAAAGACACATACACATGTATGTTCATTACAGCACTATTCACAATAGCAAAAACCTGAAATCAACATAAATGCCCATCAACAGTAGAATGAATAAAGAAAATGTGGTACATATGCACCATGGAATACTACACAGCCATATAAAAGAATGAGATCATGTCTTTTGCAGCAACGTAGATGGAGCTGGATGCCATTATCTTAAGTAAACTAATGAAGGAACTGAAAACTAAATACTACATGCTCTCACTTTTAACTGGGAGCTAAACAACAAAAACACATGGACACAAGAAGGGAAACAACAGACACCAGGACCTACTTTAGGGTAGAGGGTGAAGGGAGGCAGAAGGGAGAAGATTTAAAAACACTATCTATCAGATACTGTGCTTATTACCCGGGCGATGAAATAATCTGTCCACTAAACCCCCGTGACACACAGCTTACCTATATAACAAATTTGCACATGTATCCCTGAACCTAGAATAAAAGTTTTGAAAAAGGAAATACTATAATGAAGCTATCTAAAGAGCCCCCATAATGGATCTGAGAGATTGACATGCTCACTCAGGGTAAGAGATTTCCCCTCTGCATGCCCCTGACTAGAACATTCTTGTTCAGCCCCCTTCTGGTAGGACGGACCCTAAAAGTTTGATGTTAATTGAATGCAAATGAGCATCAAGAGATCCTGGAATTCTTCCTATAACTTTGACTAGAGGGGAATTCAGTTAAACTTTGCGCAGTGCCAAGTAACAGAATGGTGAGGAAATTGCATTGTTGTTGATGCCTGTAACAGCATTACATCCCACACCCAACAATAATGGCCTGGGTTAGTGTAGACTTCCTAGTACCTTCATCTAGTATCTGCTCTTTATAATCTAAAACAGTATCTATGGGAACTATTTCAAGGTTTGAATTCATAGTTCATGGAGGTGCCAAGCATTGTTAAAGAAATTATTTTATTTTGAGAGTTACAAAGAGCTGTGCAGATGTGAACACACTGTGGGAAGGCCATTGGCAGAGAAGGTGAGTGCTTTCCCATTAATAGAGAGACTTTAATGACTTGCCTTGATCATAGACCAGAACTCTTGGGTTGATGTCATTATAACTGAGCTTGCTCCAGATTTAATTCCATGGAACATTTATAGGCCAGCTGAGGTGGAGCCATCGTGGAATCTCCATACTCAGCACCTTGATGTGTCTCAAGCTGGCTCACAGTTCCTCATGGATATGATGATTTCTACAAGAGCGCATTCTTTTCAACCACTTCAAGAACTCACAGACTTAATGCTTCATACAAATAAGGATGTTGGGTTTTTAATTTTTATTTTTGTCATGCTCAAAAGTCACTTATTATGACCTGAGTGGCAACTCATTTCATGGTTGAGGCCAGAATTTTTTATATTCACTGCTACTTGATTTCTGAACATCAGCAAAATGCAGAAGTGTCTTTTGAAAAACCTAACACTGTCCACTTCAAGCTTGTTTTCACCTCAGTCTAAGTTAAACCCAAACCAGCAGCAGAACTGCACGTATGCTAAGATTCCCATTTGCTTTGTTACTTAAATAATGTACAAAATGTTTCAGATTTGTCAGATCAATTGTGTTAGTATAGGTAATCTTATTAGTGATGAAATCCAGCATACATATAGCAATGGATGAGTGTGGAATTGGAAGTCCAGCAGTCCTGAGTTTGCTTCCTTCACTATTCCTTAACTCAAGCTCAGTGTGACCTTGAGTTAGCTGTTTAGACCAAATATCAGTTTTCTGATCTGTAAAATAAAGATAATGATATCCTTCTGTAGGCTTGACATGAGATGTATATAATGTAACATATATGAAGCACTTAGCACAGTGCCTGACCCACAGTAAACTCAACATCTATTTGATGTTTTTGTCATTTTGGTTAATAAGGTAAAACAACTAAATCATCAACTATGAGTCACTAAATGCCATGATTTTTCACAAGATTTTTATTTGAGGGTATCTAAAGACTTAAAAAGTTCATCTCTTGCTTCCTTTGAAGCAGGCAGAAAAAATAGAAAGATTTGCACAATTATCCTAACCCAACCCTGTGTTATAAGTAGAAGTATGATCAAAGTATTAGGTAGAATAAATTTGCCTGTGTAATTTGGATCTGACTATGCTGTGTAAAGTCATGAATGTGAGGCTTGCAGGAACCCACTGGATCCAGAATGGCCCTGGAATTCCGCCATAAAATGAACAAAGATCTCAAGCAAAACCACCGGGAGTCCAGGCAAAGCAGCACAGCCTGGGGGAGCAGAATTTCCTGGGCAGAGTCCCTCCCTGACCCTGGCATCCTCCCAGGAGAGCCCCACCTCGATTAATACACATTCAAGGACTCTAAAATACTAAGCAGTTTCACAACCCACTTACTGTGCATGAGCCTTGGGTGGGGAGGCACAGAACTTTCTGGCAGGCATTTAGACCACAACAATAAAACACCTATAAACCCCTATGACGGCATAAAGAATTCATGCTGGACTTCTCCTAAAGAAGGAAGGAGCTAGCTAGCTTCCATCTATTTTGATGAATTGTATTGCAGCAGTCTCCTGATACATGAGGCTGGCAGTGGCTCTGAAAATATCTTGTAGCATTTCTTGCCATTTGAAAGCGAGAATGAGTTAGATATGGTTCCGGTACTTTGAGTTCTCAGCGATGTTTTGAATGTCTCTGCTGTTGAACAATCTTATAGAGAAAAGAACTGCCCCAATCAATAACTCAAAAAATTTCCCTGGATAAAAGGACATGTGGAATGACAAGGTTATTTCAGAAAGCTCAGGGAGAGGAAGGAATCCAGTTCTTCCTGGGATTAAAGAGTTGCCTGAAGTTGCCTCTGGAGCCCTTGTGCACTGAATAAGAGCCCTAATTGTGAAGTTCAAAATCTTGTTCAGGAAAGAAAATGGAAGAAAAATGGGGACGGTTGGCTCTGAAATTTCTTTTAGACAAAATCCCAGCTCTGATGAGAAGCAGCCTGCTTGTAAATCTGCCTGACAAAAGTGTGAAATGGTCCCCAGGGTGCCTATGCACATGCAGCTGCTTGTTAAAACCAGAGCATTTGCCCAACTGCATAATAGTGAGCAACGCTTACAACACCAAAGCGCTGAGCTGGGCCTCCCCTGCTAGAACAGCCCTTGGTCAATTGCAGTTTTCCTTGTTTCCCCTCGTCACCTCCTTTTTCTCCTTCCCACCCTATCCCAATCTCTTTCAAAGGGATTAATTCCTGTAACACTTCAGTAGAGAGAAAAGGGCTTTACTTGGCGGCTTTGGGCTTACAAGATCGTTGGTGAACAATCAGTCTGTCTGGCAGGAAGGTACGCCCACAAACATTACAGGGAACCAACTGGCTCTGGGCACTTGTCCAAGCAGCTTCATTTAAAGCATCAAGATCATAGAAGCCTTTGGCTGGAAAGTTAAAGGGAAAAAGCAAAAGGAAAAAAAGGGAAAAAAATACCAAAAACAAAAAGGAAAGAAAAAGGTAAAATGAATCAGTTTTTATTAGGGAGAACCATATTCTACTTTCTATGGAAAATATTTTCAGGAAATACCTGTTCACTGAGTATTTTAAACAAATCATATTACTTTTGCCTCCAAAAAAGAAAGGGCTGCTCGCTCTTTCAAGGGTTGAGTAAAGTTAGCTGGGAATCAGACAGAGGTTTTCACTCTTTGGATTTTAAAAAGGAAAGACATTGTTTTACATGTTATGATATGCATTCTTCACTAATTATTAACATCTTTGCATATACATCATTATTTTGCAAATATAACTTTTGGCCTTCTTTCAGTTGACTCTAAATATAAGCTTACAAAGGGGAATCAGCATGTATTTGTATTTTCCTTTTCTGTAATTCTTCAGTGGAATGTTTTTAGAAGCCAAGACTGACAGTTGAGAGTGAATTTAAGATGAATTGTATCTTAAAAACTTATCATCTCTTCATGGTCATAAACTCAGATATTCTTTAAGTAATCAAAGTGGAGAATGCAAACAGAATAATCTGACAAAAAGATGTGTCCTTAAGAAAATAACAAAGACAGATGAGAAATGTATAATCTTCATTGGCAGAGCATGGGGAAAAAAGCATATGGCTTTATTTTAGAGAAACAATGTGGGATTTAGCTTTAATAAACCTTAGTTAAAATAGAATGACTTTAGTACATTAAACTGACTATATCTTAGAACCACTGAAAATAGGCCCCCAAAATGTAACAAGGCACTCAGAAACATATTACTTAGTTTTTATCTTTGGCACAGCATAGATTACTTCGTTAAAGCTTAGGCAATTCACATACTATTTCTATCTAATGGTTCACACAACCACAGTGAATCTTAAATTTTTTAACATGTCTGCTCCTAATTCTTACTTTTCTGCTCCATGGGAATTTAAATCGCAGCAAAATCTAGTATTTCTTCTTTGGATATAGCAAACGTCACTGTCTATGTGGGATATGAATGTGTATTTTGAGTGCTTTGAAAAATGGGAAAAGAATGATGCTGACTTTCTCGTTACTCATATGAGTTTTAAAATGAATTCAAAAATTCCAGAGTAGTCATTGACTCTCACTTGAAGGTGATTCATCACATTTCTAAGTGTTTTTGCATAGGGCTTTGATTTCAGATCAGGAAGAGGGGTTAGTTGAACCCTATGACTACAATGAGTTCATGAGATAAAAATGGTAATGTGAAATATTTTTACCTAGAGAGGAAGGGCATCTTCAGAGACAAATAACGTGGGACTGAGAGGAAGACAATGCAGTTATAGGACCTATCTTTTCCATCTGTAGGCAGTAACAGAATGGTGAACCACCAGGGCTTTCAGACTAATCGTTCCTCTTACTTCTAGCCTTCTGGTAGTTATGGTCAAGCAGAGAAAGTGATAAAGATCAGAAGGGAAGGAAACAGATTTTGACACCAAGTGAGAAATGCTGGAAAGAGAGTTTCAATGAAATAAACAACCTGTTTGTGGAAAATTCTCTAATTTCAGTAGCTGGTTGTTTTCATCTTCAGCTCTTTTCCCACCTGTACGTAAAGCCCTCTTTTTGGCAAGGACTGTGAACAGCTAGGATCTAGCAGGATCTAGAATTTATCATACAATCTAGGATCTACTTTGTAGGTTGTTATAAAACTCTCCTTGTGTCACATCTCTGACACAAGTGCTTTGGACTAATTGACATTAAATGACCCCCCAAGGTACTTTTCAGCATTGCAAATCTATGGTTACATAGGACAACGGATAAATTGAAAGATACTCCTCTTAAAACCAACATTGTCCTATGAGATGGTTTAGGGGATCTACTGAGAAAATGACAATGGTAAAAATATGATAAGTCTGAGCTTGCATGGCAAAAATATTTTCTTAACTATTCTCATACCCTAAATGAATAAGCATGAGGCTTTGTGATGAGGCCAAACATGGCAGTGTAGTTTCAGTTTCATTTGGTTTGCACCAGGCTTTACAAATGATTAAATGCAAAAAATTCTGGAAACTTAAAATAGATGTCTGGATTTCTAGTTTGTTTTGTGTTATTGAAAGATATGAGTACATTGGACTAAATTTCTTAATGTTAACACCAGCTGGAACTGGGCAGTGGCCTGTCTCCTTTAGAGTGATCTGATGCTCCACACCTCATCGTAGTCCTTACTTCCCCTTTGTTGTACACACAGACCAGTTTACTCAATGTCATAACCTGACTAGTGGACCTGGTGAAAATTCAAGTTTGGTACCCCTGCTCTGTGAACACCAAGACACATTCATATTTGGAAACATGACTTTGGATGTTCCCAAAGGTTTTTTTTAAGTTTCATATTTTTTTAAGTTTTATTTATTTTTATTTTAAAAATATTTTATTATTTATTTTACATTCAAAGGGTTTGATGATATATGAAGGAAACTTTTGGGAAATAGAGCAAATTCCTATAGGTCTCTCTCATGCACAGTGTTGCCAGGACAGTGTCTTTATGTCTCAGCATCGGAAGATAATACTTTGGATAGGCATTCCAGAACTGTTTTTCTTATTTGTCTTTAACCAAAGCAGGAAATGTTGCTGATTTTGGTCGTTTGAACAAGTAAAAAAAGAAAATACTTCTGCTCTTATTAGTTTACGGAGAAAAGTCTCCCCTTATACACTCAAATCTTTTTTCTAGGAACTTACCAGTAATGGTCCTGACTTCTGGTTTTTTAGGTACTGGTCTCCTTAACTCTTTAGGCAACAAGTTGTTTTCATTATGCCATTTTTTCAGACATTGTGGCTCATGAATGCTAATAGATTTTGTTCCATATTCACGACCACAAATGTAGCAAACAACTGTTGGTGGACGCCGTATCATTGCTGGCTGTAAGTAACATAAAATAAATCATGAGTGAACTCCCATTCACAATTGCTACAAAGAGAATAAAATACCTAGGAATACAACTTACAAGGGATGTGAAGGGCTTCTTCAAGGAGAACTACAAACCACTGCTCAGGGAAATAAGAGAGGACACAAACAAATGGAAAAACATTCCATGCTCATGGATAGGAAGAATCAATATCGTGAAAACGGCCATACTACACAAAGTAATTTATAGATTCAATGCTATCCCCATCAAGCTACCATTGACTTTCCTCACAGAATTAGAAAAAACTACTTTATATTTTATACTGAACCAAAAAAGAGCTCATATAACTAAGACAATCCTAAGCAAAAAGAAGAACAAAACTGGAAGCAGCATGCCACCTGTCTTCAAGATTACAGTAACCAAAACATGGTACTGGTACCAAAACAGCTGTATAGACCAATGGAACAGAATAGAGGCCTCAGAAATAATGCCACACATCTACAACCATCTGATCTTTGACAAACCTGACAAAAACAAGCAATGGGGAAAGGATTCCCTATTCAAGAAATGGTATTAGGAAAACTGGCTAGCCATATGCAGAAAACTGAAACTGGACCCCTTCCTTACACCTTATACAAAAATTAATTCAAGATGGATTAAAGACTTAAATGTCAAACCTAAAACCATAAAAACCCTAGAAGAAAACCTAGGCAACACCATTCAGGACATAGGCATGAGCAAAGACTTCAGGACTAAAACACCAAAAGCAATGGCAAGAAAAGCCAAAATTGACAAATGGGATATAATTAAACTAAAGAGCTTCTGTCCAGCAAAAGAAACTATCATCAGAGTGAACAGGCAACCTACAGAATGGGAGGAAATTTTTGTAATCTATCTATCTGACAAAGGGCTAATATCCAGAATCTACAAGGAACCTAAACAAATTTACAAGAAAAAAACAAGCAAATTTACAAGAAAAAAACAAACAACCCCATCAAAAAGTGGGCAAGGGATATGAATAGACATTTCTCAAAAGAAGACATTTCTGCAGCCCAAAAACGTGAAAAAAAGCTCATCATCACCGGTCATTAGATAAACGCAAATCTAAACCACAATGAGATACTATCTCATGGCAGTTAGAATGGTGATCATTAAAAAGTCAGGAAACAACAGATGCTGGAGAGGATGTGGAGAGTGTAAATTAGTTCAACCATTGTGGAAGACAGTGTGGCGATTCTTCAAGGATCTAGAACCAGAAATACCATTTACTCAGCAACCCCATTACTGGGTATATACCCAAAGGATTATAAATCATTCTATGATAAAGACACATGCACATGTATGCTTATTGCAGCAATATGCACAATAGCAAAGACTTGGAACCAACCCTGATGTCCATCAATGATAGACTAGATTAAGAAAATGTGGCACATATACACCATGGAATACTATACAACCTTAAAAAGGATAAGTTCATGTCCTTTGCAGGGACATGGATGAAGCTGGAAACCACCATTGTCAGCAAACTAACACAGGAACAGAAAACCAAACACCCCCTGTTATCACTCATAAGTGGGAGTTGAACAATGAGAACACATGGATATAGGGAGGGGAGCATCACACGCTGGGACCTATTGGGGATGGTGGGCTAGAAATACCTAATGTAGTTAAAGGGTTGATAGGTGCAGCAAACCACTATGGTACGTGTATACCTATGTAACAAACCTGCACATTCTGCACATGTATCCCAGAACTTGAAGTATAATTAAAAAAAAAAAAGAAAAAAAAAATCTGTTAGATAAAGCTTAGATTTGGAAATCATAGTTTAAAATTATATCACATTTAAGTTAACTGGAAAATCAATGTGATTAAAAAAAATCCCCACTAGTCAGGTGATGTTATCTTTTTGGCAATTAAAAGATTAAACTATATTATTTGAGTACTTGGGATTGGGGTGAGGACATGGGCTTCGGAGGAAATAAAAAAGAGCTAACCAGAATTCTTCATATTGATACTATATAAATTATATTTTCTCATTTAATAAATATTGATCGATTGCCTTCTGACTATTATATCCAAGTTACTATGCTGGGAGAATACAAAGATAAATCAGGCATAACTACTCTTCTCAATAACACCAGGCTCTAGTACACCCATATATCTGAGAGGAAAAGTAATAAATGTCAGTGGAAAGTTTATAACAGACATTGTTAACACTATTATGCCTGCCCACATTGGAATCATGTCAACAACTTTCTACTTCAAGCACTTGTGATTCTTTGCTTTTTTTGATCGGGAGGAGGCTCTGCCCACAGCAGAGCAACTCATCAATTGCAGATGAGACTCAGCGAATACATATCCAGCTTCCTCACCAAGGTTGATTCCATATAGTCTTCCAGAAGTCCCCAGAGTGACTGGACCACAGTCACTTGTTAACACACTAGCTGGGCTTTGTTCTCTTCACTGTCTCTCTTCCTATTCCTTTACTGGGGTATCCTGAGATCACCTCCCAAATAAACTACTTGAACTAAAATTCTTAGTTTTCTTGTTCTTAGGAAGAACCAAATCTACGGGAGAGTTAAGGATAAGATGCAATAGGGAAATTCGGTTTCTGTCTAAGATACAGAAAAGCAGAAGAATCATTGCTTCCACCTAAACAATGAGAACAAATTGAATAGCTTACAGAATCATAATTTTTGAGTCCATTGGAGACTCAAAGTTGCAAGATAAATAGATGAACTAAAAGGCCTACCTAAGTTTGAAGATAGATCAATAGTACCAAGAAAAAGCCTCCAAGCTCCAAACTTTATATGAGACATAATTGTCTGCCACAAGAAAAGGGCAGAGTAGCTGAGCGTAAGCACCTCTAAGGGGCAGGCACGCAGGGACCATCTGTGTATACTCTCCTACCCACCAAGTCTTACACCCAGTAATAAGAGGTAACAATCTGACACTGGGGAGAGGACTGGGGATTGACAGAAGCCTCTACCATTTTAGGAACACAGGACCTGTCTAAATCTGAGGATAGAGCTATAGAAAAGCATTGCACAGAGTACAAATAAAATTTATAAATCCAAAAAGGTAATTTAGGGAAGGAGAAAAACATTTTGTTCTGGATCTGTTGAGTTTGACATAATTGTAGAATTTAAATAAATAAATCCAGCCAAAACAGGAAATACAGGCCTGCAAATTCAGTATTCATTTATTTCAGAGCTATTCACACAGAAAAAAAAATGTTTAAAACCATGTAAATTCTATAAATAGGAGTATGTAAAGAATATATGGAGAAAAATTATTGGGAGAATATTTATAGTAGGGATATTGGACACGGGAAATTATAGCCAGAAAACACAGAGAAAGGTTCAAATTTGCAGTTAAAGAAACAGGGCATGCAGACAAAAGATTCCATTCAGAATTCTGGAAACATTTCTGGTTTCCAGAAATATGGTATCATCAACCCTGTCAGATGCTACAAAGAGTAATGAGGGGCTGAGAAAAGGCTATTAGATGGAGTTATCAGTGGATTCCATAGCAGGAACTTTGAGAGATTAGTTCCAAAGGAGTGGTAATGGTAAAGGCTAAATTGTTAGGAGTTAAAAGTTATGTCAAGGAGGAGAACAACATACTTTCAAAAACTTGCAGAAAAGAAACTTGAGAGATAAGCAAAGTAGAAGAAAGGTTTGTTTTGTTGTTGTTTATAGGATAGGGATACCTTAGGTAGAGAGGAAAAGATTATAGGTCCCCAATGAAATAGGATAATTAAAAATCACAGAGGAGGCAGTAGAAGATGAGATTAAGGGCATAATTGGAGGTGTTAGCCTCTGAGAAAAGGGAAAAAAGGAAAGCTAGAGAAAGGGAAAAGGTGTTTGCAGAGAAGTGAGGAATTGGTGGAGCTCACATACGTGGACTTAGTCTTCTAAGTATGAGGCAAAGTGATCTTCAGAGAATGAAGAGATTTGAATTCTGGGAAATAGAATAGTGAAAGATGCTGGGATTATGCACCCTGGGGAATGTAGTAATGATTCAATTAGGGAAGAATATTCACTGAATAATGGAAAAGACCTAGTTACCTGAAGCTGCAAGAAATTTTGTTGGAATTAAATGACTTTTTTTCAATATGCTCTTTAGTAGCGCCAGGTGGCATGAAAACAGAAACAAATTAAGCTGATTGTGTGGTCTCCTTTGGGGAAATAAAACTAGGTAGATGTATATGTCATATAATCAGCCTACTTTTAACTATAACTATTGGGACTTTCACCTTGCACAGAGCAACATCAAAACCAGAAAGAAACACATTTATGATTTCTGCTTACCAGACATAAAAAGAGATGTTAGGTGAATAAATCCACAGTTACATAGACCAAGCAAAAAGGGAAAATAAAGTGACTCCCTGGATGATTGAAGTTTTTATAAAAAGAGTATTATTTGAAGTGGAATATTTTATTCTATTATTCTATACTAACTTATGCCAATAAACTGTCTACATTTATCAAAATAACTAAATAGTTGTTTATCCTTCTTTTCTTAGCCATATGGTGGGTTCTAACAATTTAAAAGTGACATTAAAAATATTTGAGAAATTCAAGAAAGACCTAACAGAAAGTACAAAGCATAAGCAAAAATTTTCAAGACATTTAAATGTTTCTTACTACTTTTTTACATGTTTATTTACTGGAAAGTTTAATTAAATGCAGATTTTTTAGTTTAAAATGAGAAGTTATTCTTTTTACTTTGAAAATAGTGAATTTAATAAAATTCCACATGGAAAGTATGAGCCAAATCCAGTATTTAACCAAGCATATAAGCAAAATAAATGGCATGGGTCATAAATGAAGACATTTGTGTCACCGTGTCAGAAGATTTCCTCTGGAAGGAAAGTTAGAAGAAAACAGGCAGACACAGAGGTCAGAAGACATCTACCAAACAACGGAAAGGGATGTGGGGGAAAATTAATACCATAAAAAGACGAAGATGGTCTATATTATATTTTCTAAAGCTTGTCCCATGCTCTGTA